GTCCCATCCCCAGGTCATCATGATCATGAGCTCTTCCCACCTGTTTCCACCCAATATTCCACTTTTTCCAACTTGTTTTTGTGTACTGCAAAGACATCTTACTGGCATCCCAGTATTCTTGCCAGGTTTTATGCATATGTTGCTTGGTAATGGTTTTGACCTCAGCCTCACTTAACAGAATTTCTAAAGTTATTGTTGGTAATTTTAGCGATTGGCTAGCCAGTAATCCCACAGAATCTCTCACATGTGCAGTTGACTCTGAGTCGTGCTAACTTCAGGAAATGATGGTCGCTCTGAGACCTTGGGGCAACATAAGTGGGTCTGGAGTTTCATTACAAATAAACATGTCACCCAGTGCAGTAGTTCGTGTTTCACAGGTGTGTTGTTTAATGATTTTTGAACAACAATGGAGGTCTACGGGGCAGACAAAGAAGCTAATCCAGGACTGATGCACTGACGGACATTAAACGTGAGTAGAGGCTGTTCATTGTCGGTTTGTATTCTCTTTATGGAGATGGCTGAAAATACTATTAATATAAAAAATGACCAGCCTTGTCTTAATGTTTGGAAATAGTCCTGGTCTGGATTCATTCAGTAATTTCTTTAATGTCAAGCCGCTCCTTCTGTTTGTATTCACACATTACAAAATGGCTAAAGCTGCTGATGTGAAAAGAGCCAATGACCCTGAGAACAGTGCAACAACTTCAGTGCCTAGGTAACACAAGTTGTTCAGAACTATCACTATGAGGTAGATGTGAAAACAAAACAATCTTGCTGACAGATATTCTGGCAACTATTGAGGAGGCCACTTATATGACATGCTAAAAATTTTAGGGAACAATTTATGTTATACTGTCAGTGTAACTGTCTGTAAACCATCGGATATTATCTTTGTCAAGGGATTCTGAGTTACTTAGAGGAAAACAGCTCCCTCCTCTGGCAGCAGAGCCTCAAGGCTAAATGACAGGATCACCGATTTCTCACCGTGCTGAAAACATACGGATCACATGACAGATTGTAAACTGGACTCAGAGCAGGAGCAAAGTGCATCCACTTGAAGCATGCACGCCAGAGTAATACAGTGTCTTCCATCTTTGTTGAAATGAAGTAAATGGAAGCAAACAGTAACATGATGCAGCAGTTGATATTATACTATCAGTGACCTCACTTCTGTCCTATTCCTGTGAATTTGACTGGTTTGTAGAGGCAGAGGGTTACACATTGTAGCTTTAGTATCCAATGTCTCTGTCAAATAAATGAATACATTAATCTGTCCTTGTAGAGTAACTGTGTCTCTTTACCAACTTGAGGGGTGCTTGTGGTTATAAAAAGTGATTTAAAAAGAACCCAGTAGGCCTGGACCCTGTGCCAGCTACTACCTTCACAACTTAGATGGGAACCAGGAGTAGAACTAGGGCACAGAAGGAATTTGACCTAATTAATTAGAGCAACAAACAAAGTCTAGCTTTCCAGCTCGCAAGATGGAGCCGTAACAAAACACATGGCCGATGATTTCACCAGGAAAATCATTGACGAGCTTCAGGCACAGCGTTGGCACAGCTGTACAGTCATCAGATCCTTTACTAAAGTAAAAGTACAAAAAGCATTAACATCAAAATATAGCCTACTTAGAGTAACAAATGTAAAAGCACTCATTATGCAGAATAGCAAGTTTAACATTTCTGCATATTACAGGATTAAGATTAATGATGCATTACTGTGCACATCACATTTTATGTTGCAGCTGGTAAAGGTGGAGCAAACTGAATTACTGCTAGGTATCTTGTGAATTTCCCACCAGTGATTAATACAGTCTTATGATTCTAATGTTGTTTTATTCATCTGATTCTGAAAAGTAACTAGTAACTAAAGTTATCCAATACACACAGTGGCATGAAAAAGTTCAACAGTTGCCTGTAAAATGTAGTGAAGACTATAAAGTAGCAGAAAATGAAAATACCTAAGTAGAAATACCTCAAAATTGTACTTACTGTAAGTGCAGTACTTCAGTAAATGTACTTAGTTATATTACCAATACTTAAGATATATTACCATTGGTATTAATCCATGTGCTATTAGAGAAAACAACAGGTTCTTTGCTATTTTAGTTACTCACAGAAACCTACTTCAAATTCACAGACACATCAGCTCTACAGAAAACACAATGAGAGAGACATACATTTTACAGCAAGCATCCATCCTGCTAACACGTCCTTGAGTGAGACATGGCTGTTTTGTATCTGACTCGGTGCTATCACCTAAAGGTGGAGGGAGGAAATCGAAAAGAAATTCTCCTGTGGGGATCAATGAAAATCAATAAAGCACTACATTGCATTTTGCTCCTAAATCCAGCTTGGTGTGTAATCTGCTCATCAATCTGATGTGCTCTGAAGCTCTTCCCTCCACTGGGTGGCATGGTTTCACTGCAACATATAAAGAGAAGCTTTGAAACAGACTTCATGATTGATGCTGGCAGCTGGTGAATCCTGATGGCAGACAGTGATTCCCCATGGCTGATGCACACAGTCAGCCTGCGCTACCCGGACGATTATCATCAAACGGAGAGTGCAGATTGTAGAGGAAGCTGAGGTATCAGGAGAGAGGTGGCTTGGAGGCCATTTGTCACACTAGTTGTCAGGGGCCATAAAGGCCAATGGTGGGAGAGGCACAGTGGGGAAATAAGAACAAATGGGGCATGTGCAGATATGCCTGGGTGGGCTGTGGTGGTGTGTGTGGTTTCAGACTTTACCACTGTGTCACCATTGTTGTGGCTGAGGGATCTGTGTATTAGGCATTTGGCTACTGTTAGTGTCTGACTGCCACCAAAGTCAAATTCATATTTCAGCCAAATTTGAACCATAAATATGGACAGCCTGACAGCTCCCAGAAGTGAAGCCACCACAAGTCGATCACCGAGAAGGCTGATTTTCCAGTCTTACTGCATCTAAATGGAACACTATGGTCACTAGAAACTGCCTTTGTCATTCTGGATGTACTAGCCTTCAGGAATTCACAAAACCCTTTTACCAGTTTAATAGTGCTTTTTGCTGAGACACGTTGGCCTTTACAATTAAGTTGCTCCAAACACCACTGGACCTTTTGTTTTCCTTTTTGAGGCTAAAGGTGGCCAGACTTTCTCAGTCAGGGCCCCTCAGCTTAGGAACACTCTGCCTGATGACCTGAGACTTGCATAATCATGTATCTTTGCTAATTCCTGTATCCTTATTTTAATCTTATAATTTAACAGTTGTAGGGATTGTTCTCTGTACTTTATGGCATACATTTGTTTAATTTTTATTATGCTGACTGACTATCTGGAGTTTTCTATACTAGACACTTTGCAACTGAAAAGTGCTTTATAAATAATGCTTATTTATTTATATTTACTGCACTTCTGGTTAGATGCTAAACTGCATTTTGCTGCCTTGTGATGGCAATAAAGTTGAATCTAATCTAATCTACCCTTTTGTAAATCTGAATATTTTTGATAAAAATGTGTAAAAACTCTAGAGAACTCCATTTTGAACTCCAAAGTCGTTGCATCCTTTTCTGGGCAGTGTGAAAATAGATGAAATCATGCATGACTTTCAAGAAAATAGGAGTAATGTGCAGATGGTCTTCTCAATGATAAGGCTGATAATTTTTTAAATGCTCCTCAGTGGGTTAATGATTCTGAGCTTCTTGTGTACGTCTGACTTTTCAGAGTCAGGACGAAAATGTTCCCTTTGAACTGAATCCCAAAGCTGGCCAAATTGGTTTTCAGTACAATCAAGTTTCCTAGGCTTCAGGAAACCTGAGACACACTGTGGGGATTAGGCATGACCCCTTGAAACAAACATACTGTACTGTGTGCGCGCATGCACACACAGTACACTCTTGCTCTTTTTCTCCCAAGACACATAAAAACACACAACAGACTTCTATTGTGTGTCAGTGAGAGTTTAAAAAAACATTTGTCACTTTTGTTCCATGTTTCCCTAAAACAATGACATTCACATGCACACACGCACACACACACAGGCTTTTGTGCCAACAATGAGTTACATTCCCTCAAAACTTATTACTAGTGTACCAGACAGCGACACTGATAGTGACACTGACACTAACAGTACTGAGGAGAACACTGGAAATATTCCGGTTGAACATGCAGCCACTACCGCTGAGCCTGAAGATGACTGCATGCCCGGTCCATCCAGGAAGAGGTCAAGAGACCTCAGTCAAGTAGAAGTTGAGAGAAGCTACAAAAAGACAAGACAGTGTTATGAGCTTGCTGAACCTGAAGATGACTGCATGCCCGGTCCATCCAGGAAGAGGTCAAGAGAACTTGATCAAGTGGAAGATGAGAGAAGCAACAAAATGTCAAGACAGCGTTATGAGCTTGCTGATGATAGCTCTGAAGCGCTCACAGTCAGAACTGGCACAGATCTTGCTCACAGTAGCAGCAGTACTGAGCTGGCTGAAAGTGCAGGTGCTGCAAAGGAGACAGATGAAGCTGTCAACCAGCAGGAGGAGGAGGAGGAGGCAATCCCTCAGCCAAAAAAGAAAGCATCTAGGAAGAGGTCAAAGGGAAACAGTGAAGAGACAGTCAGGAGACGCAGCAAAAGATTCAGAGATTAAGATGAGACACTAGCAATGAAGACAGACGTCAGAGCAGGCTGACGTCTAAGTTCAAATCTGCCCAAATTTCTAAATTCAAGACCACCCAAATTTCTAGAGATAGACGGGTGACCTGTCCAGAGTGTCCCCCGCCTCTAACCCAGTGACAGCTGGGATTAGCTCCTGAATAGTAATAGGCGGTATAGATGATGGATGGATGGAAAAAATGAAAGGGCAGCACAGCGGCGCAGTGGTTAGCACTGTTGCCTCACAACAAGAAGGTTCCAGGTTTGTGCCCCAGCTGACCTGGTGCCTTTCTGTGCGGAGTTTGTATGTTCTCCCTGTGCCTGCGTGGGTTTTCCCCGGGTGCTCCGGTTTCCTCCCACATTCCAAAGACATGCAGGTTAGGCTGATTGGCGACTCTAAATTAGACACTTGGGTGGCAACTGATGATTCGCTGTGGCGACCCCTAACGGGAGCAGCCAAAAGTAGAAAAATAAGAAGGATGGATGAATTGAAGTAATACCTGACATTCTAACAAATAATTGGATAATGTATACATAGATCATTATCATAAACAATAATCTCTGAAACTGTTACATGGAATATATTTTAAAACCCCATGAACCATGTGTATGTAGACTGTTAGTACATCAAGTCACGCATCATGGCTGTAACTCTAAATATCTTATATCTACTGCTACCAGTCAGTTAGTTTAGCTTAGCATAAAAATTGGAAACAGGGAAACAGCAAGCCTGGCTCTGTCAAACACTAACCAAATGTGCCCTCTAAAGTTCACTAATTAACATATTATCTCATTTGGTTCTGTTACAAAAAACAAAGCTAAGCTAAGTGCCTGCTAACAGTAGCGTCATATTAACATACAGACATTAAACTGGTATCAATGTGCTTATCTCACACTTGACAAGAATGTGAATAAATTGTATATGTCAAAATATCAAAATTATTTTTAGTTTTAGAACAGTTACTAGATAGTGCTCGTTTATTTGCGCATACTGTATTTATTTATTTAATGATTTTTTTAGTTTTTTTTTTTTTTTTTATAACTGTCTCTTAACAACTTGAGTTGTGCTTGTGGTTATAAAAATCAGGTTTAAAAAGAGTCTAATGGGCCTGGACCCAGTGCCAGCTACTACCTTCACAGCTTAGATAGGAACCAGGAGTAGAACTAAGGCACACAAGAAATTTGACCTAACTAACTAGAGCTTAGATGCCTTAAACCAGAGGGACTCGTATGCAGATGTCATGAAGAATCACACTCACTGAGGTGGCCTCATTTGTGTGGTATAGTTTACCTGCGTTTGCAGGTTGACATAAAACTGGATGAAGGAAATCCAGGGTGTAAATTATAGTGGCTCACTGATGCACAAGTTGCTTTAAGATCATAAAAGAGAAAACATAAAAGACATTCATGAAAATCTGCTCAACCCAGAATCTCTGATTTCATGCATAGTGCAAGTTGTACCCACTGTGCAGAAAACAGCATCTGCTTTACAGTCCCATGGGATCCAGATGTGATCGTTACATGTATAACACAGAAAAGTGAACTATCAGATCTGCAATTCCCGCAGCAGGGTGGCAATATGAGTATGAAGGCCATCGCTCCACCAGAGGACTCGGCTCCAAGCTGCACTGTCAGCAATCATCCATCCTGCTAACATGCCCTTGAGCAAGAAACGGCTGCTCTGACCTGAAGGTGGAGGGAGGAAATTGAAAAGAGAATTCTCCAGCAGAGATCAATAAAAATCAATAAAGCACTACATCACCATTTGCTCCTAAATCGAACAACACTGACTATTAGATCAATCCAATCAACTCCTCAGCTGAAACAGAACGAGCAGAGGAGAGGCAGAAGCTGCAGAGAGCAAATGGGTGCGCTGCAACTTTGACCTCACCAGTGGTCAGTGCTTCAGCCGTCGCCAGATGCAGGACGGTGTCATCGCTCACTGGCCAGTCAGGAAGCTCAGCCTTAATGTTCTTCAGACCACCGACTTCTTTCAGCTCCTGCCAGGACAGAAAAGACGAGAAAATACATCAGCAGCTCAGTAATGATTCAGTAAAAATAACAGGGTGTCTACAGAGTTTAACAAATTAAATTTAAGACTTTTTAAAACCTTTTTAAGACCAACTTATATGAAATTTAAGACCAAGCTGCCAATGAAAAAATAAATAAATAAATTA